AGTTTAAAAATATAATTTTGTTTATAGCTATAATCTCTTTAAGATAGGAATAAACTTAATTTAAAAAGAGTATAGACTTAGCTATAAAAAAGATAAAATATTAGTAGTTACTAGATTATATAAAAAAAATCAAACTTATAATAAATTAAATAATAAGTAGTATTACTATTTAGTATAAACTTATTATCGTTACTAAAGTTTGATAATTAATCTTAATAATAGAACTAAATATAGTTAGTAAACTAAATATTTACTTAGATACTCTAGTAGTAGAAGGAGTAGTTATTACTAATAAAGATATAGTTAGAGATAGCAGCTTATTAAATCATTACTAATTAGTTAGTAGAGTAAGAGAAAGTAAAAGTAAAAGAAATATAAACTAGCTTTAATATTAAAGTTATAGTAGCTATACTAAGTATTTATACTAAAAAACTTAAAAATAGTCAGAGTCTTATTATAGAAATAAAAGCTTATTAAAGATAAGTATACTTTATTATTATAATAATAAATAGCTAAAACGCGCTAATAAGGTCTAAAAGATAAATTTTTAACTTAAATTTACGAAATAAAATAAACTAGCTTCTAAATAAATAGTATATTAATCGAATAAGTCTTCTACTTCTTAACTATAATAGTAATAAGTTATTAATTTAGTATAATAAAAGAAGTTTAGAATAGTAGTTATACTATTTAAGAATAACTAACTTAACTAATTAGATTTTATAAAGCTAAAAGCTAGAGTACTTATTACTACTAGTAGTAAAGAACTAGTTAGACTTCTTATCTTTCTCTCTAGTAATACTTAAAATACTAGTAACTAAAGTTATAATAGTAAAATAAAAGTTATAAAAGAATTGAAAGTTATAAATAAAAACTAGATTAATAATATACTTTTATAAACTAAAAATAGAAATCTATATAGTAAAAGTGAAATATATAAATAATTAAAAAGTAGATATTAAAATAAGTAATAATTACTAAGTAGATTTACTTAATTAGCTAGAAAGTTAAAGTAATATTAGTTTAGTACTAAGATTAGTAAAAGAAGATTATATAAAATAATAGTAAATAAAGACTCTTTATAGTAACTATAAATTTAAATTAATAGTATAATANNANANCNNNNTCTATTTAATTTCTAATTAAGATAAGAAGTAAAAAGAGATACTTTCTTAGAAGTTTAGTAATAGTTTTATAGTACTTAATAGAACTAAGTAATAAAAACTAAGATGAAAAATATAGTATAGTATTATATAACTAGTTAATAGTATATATTATAATCTTCTTTTATAAATAGATAGGTATCTTCTCTAATTAATCCTTTATACTAATTAAAATTTAGCTTACTTCTACTTAATTATAGGTCGCCTCTCTAATCTTTTAAGCTTACTTACGTATCGTGCTATAATAGTATATGATAATTTCTTTAAATTATATTATTCTTTTTTACTTAAAAAGAAAATATATATTAGTTTTATATAATACTATTAGTAAGAAAATATATAAGGATTATATAGAGTATATACTATAGTTCGACGTATACTAGTAAGATACCTAACAAGGAATTATTTTCTCTAGATTAAACCTCTTAATAGTATTAAAGTCTAGATATATATATATATATATATAAGTTTTATTTATACTTTACGAGTTGAATAGTATATTCCGTAATTAGAGAAGTTTTTCGACAACTTTCATTATCTCAACTAGCTCCTCGTCCATCATGCTCTTTCCAACAATCTGTACATGCGTTGGTAAACCTTCACACTCCTCTGGTTCGTCTGTCCCCACGTCAGTTCACATCGATACTTAAATTGTCCCCTTTACACTCGAGTCTGGGGGATAAACAGATGATGACTTACATAGTGGCTCGTATATCACATCCTCTTTCACAAACTCCTTGTCTTTCTCTTTGTCAGCCTTGCCTACGTTCAGAATGCCGCTTGGATAATTGAGCAGATTGACAACGACTGTGTAGATTGGGAGACCGTAAGTGTCATGTTTTGGTGCCACGCTTTGATACCCTGGCATGAGAATCGCATCGAGTCCTTTCTGCGTAGTGCCTCCTTCCGCTGGCTCACCAACCATGAGTTTGTGGAACTGATTGAGTACACGGCCTTTCTCGACATTCATATCCCACAGCTCATCCAAACTCGCTTGCCAGTCTTTCAGTTCAGGGAATCCCGTTGTTGCGATCGATGGTATGAGTGGCTCACCGCTCGCCTTGATGTACTGGAAAGGTGTTTTGCGGGGGTCAAGCATGAAGAATTTCCACGCCAGAATAGATGTCTGGTACAGATCTGGTATCTTATCGTCTAAAAGTACAATCTCGTGTCCCTCAGCCTTCAGTTTCATAGCCGTAGAATGCAGCGCTCGGGCAATGGGCGGATGCAAAGGTCGTTCTTTGCAGCCACGGATTAGTCCAAAGCGCAAGGGTTGCGTGGAAGGCTGCACAGAACGCCAAGGTACGTTCAGACTATTTGGATCGAGAAGCCAAGGCTGTGTGCTACTCACGGACTGGAGAAAAAGGGCAAAGTCGCGGGTGGTGCGGCCACAAGGGCCAATGACTACAGGTACAGAGCCGGGAGAGCCCAGACGACCGACCGCTGCTCCACCAGCGAAGGGAACGCGACCTGCGGTGGGTTTCAGGGAGGCACCACCGCAGCATATGGCAGGGATGCGGTTCGAGCCGGCAACGTCTGTGGCTACCCCCATGATGCTACCTTTCATGGCAATGAGTGCGCCTTCACCACCAGTGGAGCCGCCGGCGGTACGCGATAACTTGTTCGGGTTCAAGGTGCGCCCAAAGATGTTGTTTTGACTGTCTGCCGTCATCATAGTTTGGGGGAGATTGGTTTTGCAATAGAAGACTGCACCGAGGGAGTGTAGGACGGTGACCAAGGCCGAGTCCGTGGCAGCCGGGGGATGCGGGATGAAGGATACATATCCGAGTGTTGCTTGTACGCCTCGCACATTGAATGAGTCCTGTTAAGATCATCTCAGTAACAAGTACGTGCTGGTGGTTTGGCACGACGAATTTGAACGTCGAAAGGGCTGCTAATAGCACCTTCCGTTTGTAAAACATACACACCTTCAGACTGATGGGTAATCCATGCAGTGGACCCAGTACCTTTCCCTCTTTCTCCAAATACTCGTCACACTCTCTTGCCCTAGCCATTGCCTCGTCAAACATAATCTCTGTAAGACAACTAACACACTGCTGTGCGACTGCCGCTCTCTTGCAAAATGCCGTCACCACTTCCGTGCTCTTTAAATGCCCATTAGCCATCATCTTGATCAGATCTGTAGCATCATAATTCTCGGTGATATCCAGCTCTTTATCTGTCAAAATACCACATGTTCGAGGTACATCTAATACAGAGATGCTAGAGGTTTCAGTGTATTGAGATGTCTGAGAGGTGGGAAGAAGCCAGTCTTTTGGGATTTTGGCGAAGACTGATTCTCGTTTCGATTTGGCCAATGCCTGCCAGTCAATTATGGGTGGTGTAGACGACATCTTGCCGTCTTTTAATCAGGTCAAGAACTTGGGTAGCGCGAAATGCAGCAGTAGTGCAGCTTTCTGTGTTGATTATGTGGAACGCTAATGTTTAGAAACGTTCAAGATGTAGGTCGATTTGGAAGAGAAGCAAGACTATGATATACAGGACAGAGGCGCATTCTACTGCACACTGCTGGTGAGGGGAAGTATGGGGAGCCGGCCGAAATTGCCGATCGGAACAAGGTTCGGAATCGCCCAAAGGCGGAGATATTGCGGGCAAGCTATAGTATTCCAGCAGGAAGTAATATCGCTCGACGCGGGCTGATCACTAGAAATTACCCAGAGGCAGCACATGTGGGAAGAGCTGTGTCTTTCTGAGGATTGAGAAGTATGTAATCCCTACTAGTGGTTGCTCGTAGTCCCACATTGCCAAAAAGCCGAAACCTCGTGCTAAAAGTTGTTTACGAGAATAAGAGGTTGGCAAATTATCCCGTGGTTGAGTTTGCTTACGTGTGAAAGATATTTCAACAACGCCGCCTCTCATTTCTATCGTACGGAGACTTGCTTCGAGTCTCTCTTTGACGTCTGCGATCCCTCGAGTGCGATCTTGATCGTCTGCCATCTGTGTCGCGTTCACGCCTACGTTCTGGACGATCTTCTCGTCGCTTATGTTCACGGCTCCTTGACCGATGCCTACGTCGGTCATCTCGGTCGTCATCTCTCCGCCTGTCGCGCGAGCGCGAGCGTGAACGGTCTTGGTGTCTGTGGCGTCGCTCCCGGTCTCGCGAACGGCTTCGTGTCCGATGACGTCTCCTCCGCTCTCCGTCGTCGTCCCTGTGCCTCCTGGAACGCTCCTTCTTCTCCCTCCTCTTCGTCCGGTCCTCATTCTCGCCCTCCTGGGCCTTCTCCTCTATTTTATCCTTGACATCAGCCTCGTGAGCCTTTCCACCTAGCGGCGTCAAGTTTGCGTTGTTCCGCACTGGCACTGGAAGGCCCATGGCAGCAAGCATCGCGTCTTCCTCTGCCTCCTTCAATTTGCGCTTCTCTTCCTTGATACGCGATGCTTCGGCCTCCTTGGATTCAGCGTCGCCTTTCGCGTACCAACTAAGGTCGCGACCTTGTTGCCAACGCCCAACAGGCGCCATGACCGAGTGACCGAGATAGTTCTCACGTTGCGCATCGTTTTTGACATCCTCCCATTTGAAATCACCGCGACCACCACTGAGCGATGGTTAGCTAGACACATCTGAGGTGTAGAGCTGCAAGTCTTACCGGCTGCCTTCTTTGCGTACAGTTTGAACAAGATCCATAATGGAATATACGGCTAAACAGTGTTGAAGATGGACGTGAGGATTAGATTATGAAAGTTGCGGGCAACACGGAGGTGAGAGGCCCGAGCTCCTGCGCGCTTCCCCACGCGCGACCATGGTCCAGCTTCAAGGAAGTGCACACACAATCCACATATAGCCTCCTGCAGTCACCCTCATACACCATCGCCAGAATGCCACCGCCACTTCCCCCCCCAGACGAGCAGGAATTTGACCAGCCCCAGCTCATCGGCGGCTTACCCACCCCCGACTTACATGCAGGAAATAACCTCTTCTGGTACTTTACCTCGTCACCCTGGTTCGACTCTGAATGCATCAACATTGATGTCTATCTCAACCTGCGCCAAAATGACCCGGCTGTTGCGGAGAAGATCATGAATGATCCAAAGTTGTGGCAACAGAGACTTGACGATCAGTCCGAAGGAACCCAGTACGTTATTGCGGGCGAAGGCCAGGGCGAAGGCCATCCGTGGCTTCTGCAACGCCAGCACAAGGTGCGCGTCACGGAAAACGACAAAGAACGTATTGAAAACTTTGTTGAGGGCAATTGGTATACCCATGGGACCAAGATGCTCATGGCGCCGAGCTTGCTGGATATCGTCCAGAGCAGAATGGTGAGGTTCAACGGAAGACGGCTGTGCAAAGCAGATGCCTGACATGTCTCGCAGCTTACTGTTTCGACGCGCATGCAACAGATGGCCGAGCTTTCCAAGAACATGACGCATTGGACACCTGCAACCGGCTACTCGTACTTCCCCTCATCATACGAAACTGCAAAGGCAACGACTACAGCAAGCCGAGTCGGTAGCCCAACGCTAGCCCCGACCGATGCAGACGCCCCAGGCTCGCAGTCACAAGGCGCAGGTGTAGCCGCACAGGCCACAGATTCAGCTGCTTCAGCCACTGACTTCTCCGACGCGCTCTTCATGCACTCGCTCAACCTCACAAACGCGTATGGCGACGAGTACATGGATGAAAATCCGCTCAAGGGCGAACCCGGTGCATTTGTCTTTGAAGGCACCAAAACAGCCGTCACTGCCAGGAACAAGGCACAGGAGCAGCAGTCGATCCAAGCAGTACAGCCCGCGCCAGCAGCTCCTACGGAATTAAAAATCGATACCGCAACGCCAAGTGTAGCGCCCTCTGTAGTGGCTACACCAAAAGCAGTGGCAACTCCCGGAGCCATGGAAGGCCATAGTAGGAAGAGCAGTGTAGCGCCTGGATCGAAGAAGAAGAAGGATAGGCGGAAAAGTCAGGCTGGACTAGCTAGTCCAACCACACCCAGTGTGCCCCAAGCATGATAGCCACCATTGCGCCATTATTGTGAGCGACACGGTTATATCTTTTTGTTTTCCTTCTTCATTCGGACTAGCATCTCACCAGTCTTTTTTCTTTCTTTTTCATGTAGTGATACCCTCTTAAAAACCAATACATGCTTATGTACATAACAAGGAATCAATACGCCAATATTTCTTCTGAAGACATGCCAGTGACTATCAATGGAGAGTGATAGACATGCGCCAGACCATTTAGCTTCCACTGCCTAGATCCGCAAGACAAGAGAGATACAGAATGACGAAAATCACCAATGAGACATTAGTGAAAGAGAGCAGCATGTACATTGCAATAGCCCGAGGGCACAAAAAACATACATGTGCAAAAGAGAATTCAAATATCTATTCAGTCTACAGATAGTTATTAAGACTGTTTGTATGAGAAGCCCAAGAACAAAAGCTCAAAGCAGCTAAACGGCAGAAACGCGCATATATATATAGGATATTAAAAGAAAGCTACGGATAGTAATATGGGCTATTTGGATGAATTCATCACATTTAGAAGAAGAAGAAGCAGAAGTTGCGAAGTGGTTGAGTGGGTAAATCCCGGATCCTACGCATGGCACCGGTCGTCTGGTTGGTGTTTAGTGTGCGACGACGAAAGTGCAATGCGACTTGGATCTCCGGCGGATACGAGTCTTGACTAACTAATCATCCCTAAGAAGCGAATTGTGAGGAGAATAAAGAGATATCCCTCTGATGCCAACAAACAAAGAAACCCAAATATAGAACTCCATGCCAGATGCCGCTTGCTTCCTGTCATATATCACCATTTGCAGTTTGGTGAAGTTGTTCACCTAAACAGTTTCTTTCATCCGTCCAATAAGAAAAAAAAAAGAAGCCTCCAGTGCAAGAGTCCCAGAAGCTAGCCTAACCACGCCAGTAAAGTAACAAAGGAGAGATACCAAGCGACAATGTTGAAGAGTGGAAAAACGATCGAGTCGTTGGGGTGTTGCAGGTGAAGCTGAGAGTGTACAAGTGAGAAGGTAAAGAGGAGAGAGATAGGAAAGTGGTATCTCTAGTAGGCTACAATTTGAAAAGGTGGTTGAGGTTGAGCATCGTAGAACTCTTGCTTCCCCAGGAATAACATATTCCGTGAAATAAAAAGTATAGGAAATAAGGAAATGAAAAATTGTCAAGACTACAAGTGGAAGGTTAAAGTGCCTTACCACACCCACTCAAGGTCGCCCAGGTCATCGTGGGCCTGGGCATGATCAGCATGGGAGCGCCAATCTTTGCTCTTGTACCAGTTGTCCACTTTCTGTTCCCAGGAGCCATGGTTGTTGTTCTCGTTATGGCTGGAACCCCAGTGGATTGGTCGTCGTCCAGCCCCAGTACGACTCCGCTTCCTGGCAGAGTTCGGAATGGGTTGAGCTTGTTTGGGCGACTTGATAGGCTTGGATGGAGTTTGTTGAGCCTGCACAGCGGGGCTACGACGGCGATCGCCAAGAGCAGCCCACTTGTCGGCAACCGAACGCTTTGGAGGAGTATTGCGGGTAGCCGCAGACGAACGATGCTCCTCAAAAACAAATCCGGTGGCGGCGCTTACGTGGTCGACAGCAGTGCGGTGGTTCTTGGGCGTAGGGCTCCTGCTGTTGTGGATGGAGATGGGGTTCTTCATCTCGGACAAGCCACCACGGGGAGTCGACACGCCTGAGCCAGCTTCGGAAACAACGGGCTTGGGCTTGGGCTTCTCAGCACCAAAGGAATGACAGTTGTTTTCGAGCTCGGCAAGGAACTGGGCATCGTCGTCTTCTTCTTCCCAAAGATCACTCCAGCTCTTGGAGATGACATCACGCTTCTTGCCAAAGACAGAAGACATGCTGTTGTAGGGCTTGGTTGGAAGCGAGCCAGAGATGGGCATGGGTCGAGATCGAGTGAAATTCACAGGCTCGGGTTTTGCGCCATCGGTCGACTTGAAGGACAAGCCGAGGCCGGAATCCACAAAGGATGCAGCAGATGCACTGTCTGGCTTGACGTCGTAGGGAGGTCCCGAGAACATGTCATCCTCATAGATCTCATTGTCAGGAATTGCTGAGAGCTGGCGGAACTGCTGAGGTGGCGACATGGCAAGAGCCTTGGCCCAGGGGAAGGAACCACCATTGTCAAGCTGCGGCGTTGAAATGGATGGTGTTCGGAGAGGTTCGCGGTTGGCGCCGACAGCGACAACATCACGCTCCTCAGTGCAGAAATCATCAAGGCTCTCGTCATCAATGGTGAAGCTGATGACGCGCTCCAACGCATCCTTGACAGCACCGAGGTCGCGCTTCTCAGGGTCAATGGCCAGGCACTGCCTGATGACCTCAAAGGTATCTTGCGACATGTTGGGAAAGACATCGAAGAGACTCTGACGGTCAAGGGCAAAGTCGGCGTAGAGGGGGTCCGAGGAAGAGGGGACGGCAAAAGGGTTGCGCCGGAACAGGATATTGAGCAGGACGATGCCAATAGCCCAGATGTCGGCCTTTGCAGTCGAGTAGCCGGTGTTGGAGGGGTCGTACTGCTCAGGAGCCATGTAGCGGTCGCTGCCCACAGCAATCTCGTAGGACCAGGGGTCAGAAGTGGCGAGACCAAAGTCACCGAGCTTCATGGAACCATCCTGCGTCAGGAAAATGTTCTCAGGCTTGATGTCGCGGTGGTAGATTCCCTTTGAGTGGATAAAATCGACAGCATCGACAAGCTGCATCATGAAGTCACGCACATGCTCAGTCTCGAGAGGGCCCTTGCCATTGCGAATGGCTTCGTACAGGTCACCATTGGAGCAGAACTCAAGCACAAGGTAAATGTGGTTCTGGGTCTCAAAAGACTGGAGCAGGTTGACAACATTGGAGTGATCACCAAGACGCAGGTGAACACCAAGCTCTTCGGAGCGCTCATCGACTGCAAAGGCGGAAGGGCAGTTGATGGCGGCCGAACTCTTGGTAATGACCTTGACAGCAACATGGTCGCCAGTTACAAGATCCTTGGCCTGGAAGACCATGCCAAAGGAGCCATTGTTAAGAGGAGAGATTGTTTCATACCGTCCATTGAGTACAACGCCTTCGTGAAGATGATCGCGCATGCACTCCATGAGGGATGTTTGGGGGGGTTGGAGAACTGGAGGGGAAAGGGCCGAAGGGGAAACTCAGAGAGGTCTACCCGGTGGCTGTGACAGGTGCAGGCGGATGTGGAAGCCGCCAAACAAAGAAGGAAGGAAACGGAAAGGTAAAGCTAGATATCAAAAGCAAACAATGGGTCAACAGCTGTCAGCCCAAAAGCGATGCTCTATCAAACTTTTAGGTGACTGTGGAAATTTCGAAGATAGCGATAATATGGTTGTGGCCGAGTCGGAAAAGTGACGAAAAAGGTTGCCGAGGAGAGATGTCGTAAGGTAACAGCGAGGCCGTTTGGGTGAAACTAAAAAGCAAAGTCGTCGGTGATATGCACAGGTGGTGTCCGTCGACGGAAAAAGACAAGGAAAGGTTCAAGAGAGTGTGGTTCTCATTTGCCGGTATTAACTGCGTATGGATGACTCGAGTCAACGAGCTATCGGAGGGAGCGGCAGGTGATGAGATGGAGTCGTGGACGTCCAAACAGGAAGAGGGATCGCTGCGTAAGAGAGGAAGGAAGAGAGAGATAGAGAGATAGAGAGAAAGAGTCGTAACGCGTGGAGGGAGGATCGTCGTAGGCAGACGGAAGGTTGTTGTCTGATGACGCGGTTGGCAGCGTGAGTCAGGTGCACGGGCCCACGTAAGGAGAGCTAGCGGGTGTCGGATAAAGAGGGGGTTTGATGAGGCTAGCTGGCGACAAGCTGAGAGGGGAAATGTGAATTGTCTGCTGAGTGAAGCTTGGAGCGGCACAGGTCGTCGGCCTGAGGAGTGGTGAGGCAGGCGAGGGGTCGGGGGTGTGTTTGGCTAGCTGGCTGTCTGACGGGTGTTGGGATGGCCTGCAGCTCGCTCTCTCTGTCACATCAAAACAAAGGCCCGGCGATGGCGGCTAGGTGGTCGAGTTGAGTGGAGTAGAGCAGAGCAAGAGGGCGGGGCGATTGTGGCAGAGGGAGGCTGTGGGCCAAGGCGAGGGAGGGGGTGGCAGACGTTGTTGTTGGCGGTGTTGACGTATGGATAAGCTGCACAGCGGTTGCGGAAGGAGCGAGCGGAAGGCGAGAGAGTATTATTAAGAGCAGCAGCGGTAGGTGAGGCGGGAGGCGGAAGGGGCGGAGGAGGAGACTATGGCGGTGGAGAGAAGCAACGCTAGAGCTTGCGAACAACGACGAGAGCAGAGATGGGTACGTGTTATGGAGGCATCGGGAGACGGTGGTGAGGTGAGGAAGCGGATGGCGGACGGGCATCCTGGCTATTAGAGGGCAGCGCCAGGAGCAGGCGCAGCTCTTGGGGGGGGGGGACCCGCTTGCAGCAGGGCGGCGTCGAGGCTAGCCGGGGTAGGGGAGGAGGAGACTAGGGCGCCGCTGCGAGCTACGTGGCTTGCATCACCAGGTGCTAAAGCAGCGTGGCCATACGCCCCTCGTCGGAACCGCCACTGGACTGACTGGGCTGCCAACTCTGGTGCCAACTTTCCATGGCCTTCGGTCTCTTTCCATGCTCGTCACGGCGGCGGTCGGACGAGCCAGAGGGCGCGCTCGCTGCTCGCTGCCCGCTGCCCGCTGTCCGCTCTCTGCTGTCCGCTCTCTGCTGTCCGCTCTCTGCTGTCCGCTCTCGACTGTCCGCTCTCGACTGTCGGCCTGCTCCGGGGGCTCGCTGCTCGTCTTGTCGCCAGGCCCGTCTCACACGGCAGTCCTTGCTGGTGCTGCATCATGGCTCTCATCAGTGGATACCCCCCCGTGTGCGTGTGCGTGTGCGTGTGCGTGCTCGTCGCTGCCTCTGCCCCCGTTGCAGGTGCACGCTGCACGTCTGGCCGGACGGGTGCCGCTGCGGTGATGACGGTGGGACGGACAAAGACGTCTGAAACATTGGCCGTGGCTGTCGACTGCCTGT